CACTCTGAAGATGCCGGTCACAGGTGCTGGCGAAACGTTCGGAAACAAAACTTCCAGAGCACGGCCTCTCAGCCTGGAAGACCCACACCAGCCATCGTATGCCGGCCGTGAAAGCCTTCGACGATACATTTGTTTTATATTTGCTTGTCCTCTAGATTTCTTGAACTTTATGTGGCTTATCATCTGGAAGAATTTGATTGGTACATAATGCTATTTTTTCAATCATCACTAACATTTTTGTAAAAAAGAGAGGGAGAATGATAAATCCTACTTGCTCGTTACTGGCCGGCAATTGAAAATTGAGTCTTCCTGGTGGAAGTCAAACGCTGTGCTTACCAAATGACACCATCCCAGCTCTGAGCTTTCTATGATGTGTCAGTGCCTAGGAGAAAAAGATCTCTGTTTGCCTTTCCAAGAGATAAAGGGTGTTGCTGTGTTATATGCAAAGATAAAAGAATTTCAGATCAAGGGACAGGCCTGGGAGCACTGATAACTCCATGCAGTGGGGAAAGAGACACTGGTGTCTGCATGATAGCTCTTTGGTTGGTCTCCAAAGCGTCTTAAATGGTTGGAATAAAATCTTGCATGGAGCGTTTCTGTTTAGAATTATACATATTCTGTTTAGAATATGTAGAGAGTTGCACCCTCTTTCTAAGCCCTCTTTTTCGAGGCCCTGCTGGGTATGTGTGTCTCTTGCTTTGACCTAATGGGGACTTCTCTGCAAGTAAATTTGCATTGAGCCTTTAGCAGATCTAAAATTTCCTCCCTCAGGAACAAAGCTGGCTTACTGGGAAGACCAGCTTCAAAGCAGCCCTGGCCAGCATGAGTGAAGCTGGTTCTCCTGGAGCCTCTGGCCTGTTGGTGCTCCCAGGTCCTAAATCCTTGGAAAGCAGGAATACAGTTTAGCATGGAGAGAGGTTTTGGTCTCCACTGAGAGCCAACCCCTGTGAAAGCACAGGAATCCTTAGATCAGCTTTTGATCTGCAAACTAGGGCTCTCCAAGTGTTTTGGCCAGGCTGCCTGGGAATGATCACAGCTGGAGAATTGGGAAGGCTGCTCAGAGCAATTCTGCCCTCTAGTGAGATTTCGGCTCTGCAGTGATACGGATAGGAAGACAATTCCTCCTATCCAGATGTGGTTTGGCAGCAATGTTGGTGGGCGCTTCCAGGTTTGGTCGCGTGGTCCATTCTTCTATTAACAGGAGGACGCTGGCAATCATTTATGGACTGCGCACCCCAATAAGCACTTTCAGAACTTTTAGGGCCCGGCACCTGGCTAGCCTTCAAAAGCTAAGTAGGGTCAAACTTCACTCTTCAGACTTCGTTCAGTTGCAAAGGACCGTTTTGAGGCATTGTCCTGCACCTCCAAGACGAATCGCTGGCTGGAACAGGCTCCACCAACTTTATCTCTGCACACCGTTTGCCCCCCAAGGATGCTCCCTTGGTTTGGTTTTCACTTCTGCCAAACGAAGCTCCTTGCTCATTTGCAGTGGGGATGAGAGCACCCTTGGGGGACCTGAAAGACCAGGCTAGGGATAGATCGTCAAGAAGAAAATTGATGGATCGATGTGGTCGCTAGGAGTCGAACACGACACGATGGCACATAATCAAAACATCTTGCAAGCGCCTTCGGGTATAGACCGGACGAGTGTTTTGCAGCCTTATGCCGCTAGGTGGCGCTGTGTAAATAAGCACGACCGGCGCCTACAAAGCTGTCGATGCAGCAGCGGCGTCTGTGGTCGCTGAGTCCTGACCTGCAACGGGAGGGGAGCGGCCGAGCTGAAGGGAGTTAAAGCAATAGAGGATGGGTTGCTAGAGGGGACGTGGGAGGAGAGGAGAAGGGCAGAGGAACTTCCTCTTCCGGCTTCTCCATGGGAGGGTAGTGGGGTGCGGGGCCCTCTCCTGTTCTTCCCAGGTCGAAGCAG